GTCCCTAAAAGGGAGACGGGGATGATCTCATGTACGCGTGGGATATTCACTTTAACCTAGGACTAGTACGACATTCCGTTCGATTGGGCGTTCCAAAAGTCATATTTACTCATTCAAGCCCACACTACCCAAATCTCTCTCTCTCTCTGTCTCTCTCTCTCTGCATGTGTTCTTTCTTCTTTTTATGTGCCGTGTCCTTTCAGGGCGTAGACGATCTTGGATCTCCACTTCCCTCTTTGTAGCTTTCAATAAATTTCGTCCCTCTGACACCTCCCCTAGACCACGTTCTATCATACACTTGCTTAAGCCCGCCTAGTATATCTCACCAGTTGCTTTCCCTTGTCTCTATTTCCCCTCTATTCGACATGTGAGTATCAGATTCTCTAGGCCCTCCCATTATGTCCCAGAAATTTCATCTGCCTCTTCCTGATGTTAAGTATAAGCCTCCTCCTTGTTTGCATCCTCTCTAAAAACTCATCGTTGCGCACACGCTCGGTCCATGATATCCTTAGCATGTATGAAAAGCATAACATCCAAAATATGTCCTCGCGGCTCATACCTTAAAAATTCTTTGGGCACTATTTAACTAACACATAGACACCCATTTTGATACGCTTGTTCAATGATAATCCCAGCATAAGATAATTATAATTTTAAATTATTAAATTGTGATTACAAATCAATATAATGTTAACACACAAGTCCATCATATATATATATATATATATATATATATATATATATATATATATATATATATATATATGATGGACTTGACTGGAGTTCGAACTCACCGATTTCTCTTTAATCTATACAGCACCTGCATTTACGTTTAATGCGCACACACACATATATATATATATATATGGTCTGGTTCCTCTGCTGTGTATTTAGACATTCTTGATAAAATAAAAAGAAGAATCTGTAATATTTATGCTGCTGACCGGCATCTCGGCTTTACTAACTTTCCCATCACTGTAACATAATTTCACTGTGCCTTTTGTATAAGCATTTTCATGTGAATTGTTCTTTCCTCTTAGGTACCTCGATTTTACAAAATTAAGCGCAGTACTAATTTGGTAGTTAGGTCTCATAAACTATAATTAAATTGGCAGTTAAGTCGTATCATTTTACAGTTTAAATTGCTCGATGTAAACGTTATATGCTAACAATTTTTTCTCAAATGTGGGGCACTTTTGTTTTTCAGTCAATTTTGATCTTCCAAAATTTGAATCCAATATCAACCTGTCTTCTTAATTCTTGATCTTTAATTGTACTCTCCCTTAATAATGTTTTTTATTTTTCTCTTATTATTACACACCATTAACTTTATTGCCTTGCTTTTAAATGCATATATATATATATATATATATATATATATATATATATATATATTCGACTCGACAGCCCGATACCAGCACATGAGATTTGATTATAGTGGTGAATATTTCGTGCAGAACCATCCACACTTTTGAAGGGAAAATACAGAGACCTGGTTAGCACTCCGTGCCACAAGGTCCTCAAACGACTCTACGCAGGTTTTGAATTCAGCTATAGAACCCAATCTGTCCTTCTATTTAATTTTTAAGGATGATATATATATATATATATATATATATATATATATATATATATATATATATATATATATATGAAGAAATATAAAGAAATATAGTCTTAAGATGTGCTATATTTATAGGATAAAGTGCTCAATATCAGAGATAGAGCGTGTGTAAATATAAAAGTGAAAATAGAAGTCAACATTTAGAGGCGACAGTCTGTTTCATATATATATATATATATATATATATATATATATAAATTGTTAATACTTCCTGAGGAGTGGACGGACAGGTCTCTCTATGAAACTCTGGAGTCGTGATGCGGAAGGCAAGTTTCAAATAATACTCACATTAATCATATATATATATATATATATATATATATATATATGAAAGAATTTATTATTAGTTGTATATTATTATATTTTCCATGAATATTCCTTTCTAAATTCCGTGTGTGCGTTATACGTTGGTGCCTCTTATAAGGTGAAATATATGGGGTGAGTCTGTCACTGTGTTATTGTGTGTATGAGAAACAAATATATTAAGAGCAATGTGTCTATTTTTTGTCATCTACTAAGCTAAGTTTGTCACAAGGCTACAGGTATGGGGCGCTTGGGTTGTGGCTTTTTGTAACCCTATGTCTCCTGTGTCATAAATCGAGGAACTTTTTTTCAAAAGTAATGAAAAAGTCATTGTTTTAATTCTTGAAAAAGGTGAACCCCAAACTGAGATTTCGGATTTACCATATAAGAAATGAGATTAAAAGATTAAAATATTTCAAAACATTTATTTTTCAATTTGCTAATAATGCAGTTTGATAATATTTAAGTATTTTTAATTCATTTAACTGTTTATAGTATAATATAGAAACTTACAAATAAACAAAAACAAGTTCTAGAAGATTCAATAAAGTTCTATTTTTGATGTTTATCTCCTTACCTTATAGAGCTGGAAGGGTTACCTTTAAGGGTTCAATCCTTACCCGCTTTTCTAACATGGATTCGAGTGTGACAATTATCCGACCTTACTTCAAACAAATGGTAGCAGAACAAAATGAAAAGTTAAAGAAAATAATTTTGAAAATAACTTTTTGGTAAGTGTTTCAAATGACAACGAGTGGAATAGATATTTATTTACTCTATTGGATTCATTTGCATATGTCTGCCAAGTCATTTAAATATCTACAAGGCCAAAAATGGTGGGCGATATAAGATCGAAATAAGGAGATGTCTGCAATGGTTGGCGAAACGAGATTTCAAATCAACACGCTGGCAGGTACCCAATTTCGTATGCTAAAATTCAATTTGGATCAATTTCGCTTCGCAGAAGACCTGATCCTCATTGGCTCGCTAACCTATAGAAACACAATTGCAACACAAAGCACTTCACTGAGCATCAATTGCTTTAGAAACTTCTTTGTTCGTTTATAGAAATAAACCTTTTCGGGTTCTTGTTGTTGGGAGATTATCAAAAACTCGCCGACTTCTCGTAAAATCATTCCTTTCTTGTTGTTGTGATATTCTGGCTTTATTCCATGTAAAGTTAATTTATAATTATTTGTGACTAATTCTTGTTAAACGACTTATTTAGCAACATTATTCACACCTCTTTCCACCCTTTAAAAAAGTTTTTTTTCACGTAACGATCAAAATCGTAAATTTAATTTTATTTGTTAATCTCCCACGTTAATTTTGCCACGTTAATCGACAGATTTAATCGAATCTTCTAAGTTTACTCGTTCAACTTGTTTTAAACGACATTTATTCATATATTTATTTTTGTTTTAACACGTTGCATAAGTCGTAATTTACTTATTTTAATCGTAAAAACAATGTAAATTTCTAATTATTTTAACATTGCATCTTTTTTTTTATTTCTTATTTTATTGTTTTATTTTTATTATTTTTTTTTCTTTACTAACAGTAATTATCAGCTGGGAAGATTAACCTTGAAAAAAAAGTAAAAAAGAAAAAAAAACACGAAAACACATAATCACCTTCCGAGTATCCGACGAGTATCCACATAAAAAAAAGAAAAAGTAAAATATCCTCCGTAAACAACTTAAATAGAGCTCACACTATTGCGATTGGCTGTTGGTCAACTTCCAATCAAATGCGTGACAGAGGGGTATGGTTTGACTATAATATAACTCAGTGTCTGCAGGCTGTTAATTTAGATTGGGGGCACCCCAAGGCGGTGTAATGGTTAGCAAGCTTGTCTCGCTAGAACAATTACGACTGAGTAGCGAGTTCGATCCTCACTGGGTGCCTCATACTTTCAGCCTTGTGCCACATCTAAGCTACGCTTGGAAAATCTTCAATTTAGCTCCGGGGTATGGCTCCGTGGTCAACAGTCTCACTCTGCTTTCGAGCGGAGAGGAACCCGGACGAGGCTCCGCCGAAGGGAAGAGTCTCGTTCGGGGTTGTTGACTGCTCCTGAACCCGTTTATGCGGGTTCAAAGAGGGAATATTTTGGCCGAGCCTACGGGCTGGGAAATCCCACGTTAAACTCGGCCTTGTGCCATATGTAACCCTTGTGGGGCTAGCTAAATATCATTTAGATTGGAGGCGCATCAGAGACTGATCAGCTCTGATGGGGTCGACTCGGTGAGGGGAGTATGAAAGACTCGAAACTGCCCAATGACCCAATTCAGAACTGACGAAGCCCTCTAGCGCTAAAGAGCGTATATTCAAAGTAATTAAACTCTAAATATCGAGTGATATTAACTTTTTAAAATCTTCTTGTTCATATGTGATGTGTTTCTCATTTCACTTTTCAGTGTCTATTTAAGAATGTCATTATTCGTTATAAACATAATTCACCAAAGATTCAAAATTTCTTACAGATTTTAGCGCACCTTTGAGCTTCCGTACTCTAAAGAACTGCTAAAATGTTAATCGTTTTGAGCTTCCTCATCAAAGCAATTTGACATTTTGCTTCAATAGCGATATCTAATCAGCTAATCCGAGGACACAAAAAAAAAATTGAAATCACCGACTATTTTTATGCAGTGTCCAATAGACACGCACACACAGCAGCTTGTAGGTTTCATTTTGAATGATTCAATTAGAAAAGTCACCATCCCGACCTACTAATTTTAACAACAACTTAAATCGAATATATATGTGTGTGGAGTGGTGATGGTTCTAGGTTGAGGTTTTCCGGTCTGTATGAAAGAATAAAAAAAATGTATTGAGAGTGCGCTGATCTCACAATTCTCGGCAATAAACCTAAGACCAGTCTCGTACATAATCATCGCAAAAGTAATATTAGCACAATGCAGTATACGAGCTAGTATAAAAGAGATCTTCTTGGATCTTCTTTCAAATCTTATATACACATTTATTTCACAAACACACACACACACACACACACATACACACACACACACACACACACACACACACACACACACACACACACACACACACACACACACACTTCCGTACGATCACCGAAGTTAAGCAACGTCGAGTCTGGTCAGTATCTAGATGGGTGACCGCTTGGGAATACCAGGTGCTGTAAGCTTGGAGGTGGGTGTGCTGTTATGGATAATGCCTTTGGGTTCATAATATTCACTTACGGGAAAATACCCTTGGGAAAGTTATGAATCCACCACATCTGCCCCCAGCTGTAGGTTAATTAATAAAACTCGTATCACTAAAAGATTATTATCTCCCCTACCCGCAAATTCTTACAATCTAAAACTATTTTCTTGCAAAAGGTTGATAAGCCATAGAAAACGAATCAAGCAATCATACACATAAACACAATGATATATATATATATATATATATATATATATATATATATATATATATATATATATATATATATATAAAGCTTAATGTAGGCCGTCCTTGGTTACGCTTAAAGGTCAAACGCAAATACAATTTAAATGCTGCAAACTTTTTGAGAGAGGAGTTCGAACTCGCTGTTGAAAGCCGAGCAAAATGAGAAACGCCTGCCACCGAGTTATAACTAAGTCTGAAAAGAATCGTTTCAACTGTTTGAGAGAGTCAAGAACCCACATTAAATCTCAGGCCAATACATTACATCAGTCCATATGAGGGTCAACCTTTCAGCATGTCCCTCGTGTGGTCTCATTTGCAAATTCCGTGCAGGATTGAGACATAAGCATAAAAATTGAATTGAAAGACACTTCATACGTCGAAAACGATAGGAAGGTCTATCCTCCCCATATATATATATATATATATATATATATATATATATACTCGACTTGACACTCCCATCGAATTCGACGTATGAGGTCCAAGCAGATCAGTTCCCAGGAAACCGACAGCCCGACAACAGCACATAAGTATGGATTATATTGGTGAAGGTTTCGTGCAGAACCATCTACACTTTTTGAAGGGCCGAATACAGAGACCTGGTACACTAAGTGTCCCCAAACGACCCTTGAATTCAGAGTTGTCCTTCCTACACCAGTTGCCATCCAAGGCTATAGAACCCAGTCTGTCCTGCCATTCACCCATAGCTGGAGGGAGAAGAAGAGGATTCACACTTTTTCCAAGCAAGTAAGTGAATGTAATGGATTCGACTGGAATTCGAACTCGGCTCTCCGATTCCTCAATCCGAGCCGCTATCCATCACTTCACCGTGCCTCTTGCATATATATATATATATATATATATATATATATATATATATATAAATATATAGGATTTTCAGCATTTGAAAATCACTTCGGTATGAAACTCGGAGTTGCGCGATTAATGTAAGATATTATGTCTCTCTCTCTCTCTCTCTCTCTCTATCTATCTATCTATCTATATATATATATATATATTAAATATCTCTGTTACTTAACATTGATCACTGTTTTTTCTTACACTATAGAGTATTTATAGATATTTGTATGCGATCGCTCGCTCGTATACCTACCTATATTTACCCATATGGTTATATATATTGTATGACGTAATAGGTAAAAGGTTAGTGTAGCTATGGTAATCTTGGATAGGATTTATCACCTTGTGACCATAGAATAATTTAAGGGATCAGAAAGAAATGACACTGCTTGGATTGGGCAATTGTAGCAACGGCATCACGAGAACCTGAAAATTCTAGCCCGACATTAGTGGCACTTTGAAACTAGTGACGCATAAAGTTGATGCAAGAACGAAGTTACCATCGATTGGCACGATTGTTAATTATCTAAAGAACGGAAATAATTCATGAAATCACAGACCAATTCAAATCGTCAGCCAACAGAGTATACAGTGTACCCGTATTTCTTGCGGTTTTTAGACCAACAAGAATTGAATTATTTGAATAATAGAATCAGTCATTGTGTCTCATCTTGTGACAGATAATATCTCCATTGGGGTGTGAAAGACTGTTACTTGTTCTCAGCTCAGAGGCGACCTGTTTCTACCTCTTTAGGGCAGACGGTCGAGTTTCTGTGCGTGAAGCTATGGGTTCAGTCTATGAGCAGAGTGCTGCGCATGTTGGTGATGCTTCTGTAATAGTGTGGGGGCTCTGTTCTATTGGAGATCAGAAGAACACTACACTGACTGAAGTGCCCTGACCTGTGTTACATATACAGATCTTTTTGCGGATCATTTCTCTTCTCTTTCGCGATGGTTTCTTCCAAGGAAATAACATGATTTCCCATTGTGTATGGGCAAAAGACGAATGGTTCCAATAACACTCACTGAACTCCCAGCTACTCCGCTCTTTCCGGATTTCAACCACCGTTGAGACATCACTAAATTCCCTACAATCAAACACAACCAGCACAACTCTTCCATGGACACGCTTGAAACATCCCTGGTATACTCACGCAGCAGAAACTTGCATCACGGGAACACAGGTAGTTACCGTTATTGAAGCCAAAAATTCAGCAGCACGTTATACATTACGGTAATGACTAGATCAACCGTAAGTTCTATAAAAAAGAGTTTCCTCACTCGCACTTCTCCTTTGTGGAACTCTCTTCCGGCCTCTTGCTTTCCAGTCAACATTGATCTTCAGAAATTTAAATGAAATATCAATCTTTATCTTCTCACTGTTCTTTTATTGATCCCTCTCCTTAATAATGGTTTTCTTTTTCTCGTATTCTTTCACACTCAGTAACCCCTTGCGTCTTGGTGGCTTTATTGCCTTACTTGATATGAAAGGAAAATAAAAAAAGAATATTATATAGTTTATTTCTATAGCAAAAGCATAAGCTATGTATTTACATGATAAATATATATATATATATATACATTATTTGGACTGTTATCCTCATCTTCATTGCCATATTCACAGAGTTTCTTCCGTTGTACGGTCCTGACTTTTTCAGGTGATTGCAATTTCGAATCGAACACTTTATTTCGTCCACCGGAGGTAGATTGCTTTAGTTCCACGTGCCATGCCTCTTCAGGATATTTCAGTTATTTCCCTTTAACTCAACACTCTAAGTTTTTTGGTTCACCACTGCTGTGGCCTGGTATTGAACTCACAACACTTTGGATCTACTCACTGGAACTAACCAATTCACTTTATTCACTGGGCCATGTGTCCTTGTACAACGGTCGAAACGTTGTGAATATGGCATTGAAGAGAAGGATAACAGTCCGAATAATGTAAGTAATCATAATACCCCATTTCAGAGATACAGATATATATATATATATATATATATATATATATATATATATATATATATATATATATATATATATATATATAAATTTTAGTTAAATAAAGCGTACTCTAACCCAAACACCCATAGAAAGACTACAAGTAAGAAAAAAAATGCCGAAAAACTTTTTGCCATTAATAAAAAAAAACCCAGACGACATGCATTTAACGTCAGAATTCGTTGAAAAATAACCTCTACCCTCCCTAAACTTTTTTTTCAAACGTAACTCACAATTGATACAATAATAGTTAATAAAAATGAACATGCTACCGCCGCTGTCTCAATGATTCGATTTCTCTGTATCCTTGGAAACAGGAAATTATAAATTTATATGTGCGTTTAAAACTCAGTAAATTTCAAAGTAAGTTATTCCAAAATTCGCTTCAAGATGAAACAGAACTAATGCTTTTAATTTAATTATATAATTAAATTTGAAGTTTTTAGCTTCAGTTTTTGAAACATGGTTATTACTGTGTAGCGAAGAAACCATATTTTAAATCAGTTAATTTATAATTATATTTTATATATATATATATATATATATATATATATATATATATATATATATATATATATATATCAGCACTTTTGTTATTAACACAAAGCATTAGTCATTTATTTTCCATTTTGAAATAAAAATTCCATTCTTTTTTTTCTTTCAGCAAGTGTGGCCAATTCGGGTTGATCCGGAGGCGTTTCACCTATTCTAACGCTGGCGCTTAACAATAGGGAATAACACTTAATCTTTTACCGGGAATTTTTTTGGCCACCGGAAGCAGAGATCAATCATTTTCTTTCTACCTTTACAGATATTGAGATTTACAAGCCAAGTGAATCGAGCTGACATTCACAAGTGAATATCTTGTCTGAAATTTGGATGCTTTGCTTAAATGACAGGCAGACGGACGAAAGAATTGACTCACTTGTAGTAGTACAGATTCACAAATCACTTAAGTGAAGCTTATAGTTGCAAGCCAACCTCTTTTCCCTTGAAAAGTCCAGAAGTTTTGCTATAAAAGTCTACATTAATCTTCTCGCATACACTTGTTAGGTTGTCTCAAGTGGGGAATTACATTTCAAAGTATTTTATCCAAGTGTTGGGCTTAATTTACGGAAAGCCCACAGTCACGAGGCAAAAAAAAAAAAAGCAAACAGATGGTTCCAAATGCTAAAGAGAAAAGGTCTATGGTAGATTGTAGCTTGAAAGAATACAAGCTCAATGTACTTATTATAACAGAGCATATAAATTACATAGAATAAACATAGAACGTTACCTTATTGGAATACCTCTTTCAACCAAGTCCTATATTGGTATGTTGACAAAGCTAACATAGGACATGTTGGTTGAAATAGCTATTCGAATGAGGTAAATTCGAATTTCTAATCTATCTATCTATCTATCTATCTATCTATCTATCTATATATATATATATATATATTGGAAGGTCATCCCGAAAGTACTGGATTTGGATTTATCATGTTGGTACACGAGAGTGGAGAAGGTCGTTGCCGCGTATGCCAGCACATTTTCTTTTTTTTTCCATTAGTTACTTTTGGTAGTCTAGAAAACAGTGTGAAACTATTAGCCTTTTTTAATCATTTCAACCCAAGCAAGGTAATAAAGCCACTAAGATGACAAAGGTTACTGAGAGTGAAACAATATGAGAAAAAGAAGAAAACATTAAGGAGAGAGAACAATAAAAGAACTGGAATTAAGAAAACAAGCGATAACGACTGGCATTGCATTTAAATTTTTGAATATCAAACTTGACTGGAAAGCATGGAGCCGGAAAAACTTCTTCAAGCAAAAAGCGCGGGAGAAGCATAGAACTTACGGTTTTATCTTGCCATTTCAGCTGCAAAGTAATTAA